TAAAGCGATTGCACTACAGTACTTGTATTAGGTTAATTGAACAATACTATTTATTTTGTCTTTTACAGTGCAAATATTTGTAATAAAAAATAAAGTGAGCACTGTACACTTTTTATTCTGTGCTATAATTGAAATCAATATATTTGAAAATGTAGAAAATATAAAAAATATTTAAATAAATGGTATTCTATTATTGTTTAAAAGCACGATTAATTTTTAGGCTTGACAAGCCTAATAATTATCCCTTCTAACAACTTATCAATCTTATACTTCTATAATCCTACAACTGAACTCTCTTTAACATACAATGACATGACATGTTAGTTAATCATAACATCACACAATAAATGAATAATAAAGTCATTACACTACTCAGTATAAATGTTTCCAGCGAAGTGCAGTTCAATATGTTATTTGAGAAGCCTCGATTAGAATACTGTGCCCAGTTCTAGGCACCATACTTTAAGACAGATATGGAGGAACTGGAGAATGTCCAGAGGACAACAACTTAAATGACAAAAGATTTAGAAATCTGTCCTATGGGGAAAGGTTAAAAAACAACAACTAGGTATGTTTAGTCTTGAGAAAAGAACACTGAGAGTGGTCCTCATAGCAGTCTTCAAGTATGTTAAGGGCTGTTATAAAGAGGACAGTGATAAAGTGTTCTCCATTTCCACTGAAGATCGGGCAAGAAGAAATTGGTTTAATCTGCAGCAAGGGAGATTTATGTTAAATATAAGGAAAAAACTTTCTAACTATAAGGATAGTTAAATACTGGAATGGGTTACCAAGGGAGGTTGTGGAATCCTTGTCACTGGAGGTTAAGAACAGATTAGACAAACACCTGTCAGGGATGGTCTAGGTCAGGGGTCGGCAATGTTTGGCAAGCGGCTCGCCAGGGTAAGCACCCTGGCGGGCCGGGCCAGTTTATTTACCTGCTGACGCGGCAGGTTCGGCCGATCGCGGCCCCCACTGGCCGCGATTCGCCGTCCTGGGCCAATGGGGGCGGCGGGAAGCCGCAGCCAGCACATCCCTCGCCCGCGCCACTTCCTGCCACGTCAGCAGGTAAATAAACTGGCCCGGCCCGCCAGGGTGCTTACCCTGGCGAGCCGCGTGCCAAACGTTGCCGACCCCTGGTCTAGGTATATGTGGTCCTTCCTCAGCATGGGGGAGATGAACTAGATGACATTTTGAGGTCCCGCCCATCCCTACATTTCTATGATTTTATAATTATCTTTTGGAGGTGTGAATCTTACTTGTTTTCTGACTTACGTTATTATTCATGTCACTAAAACACGACTGTTGGAACAAACTGCCAAACAGCAATTAAGTATCCAAAGTATTTTTTAAAATAAAGTAAGCTTATTTAGTTATAAATACTCTGTGTCTCTTGAACTAACACCGAATTTATCAGGGCACGTTCTCAAATGTTATGGGCTAAATAACAACACTGATTCTAATAACATGATATGTTAGTAAATTAAAGGACATTACTATTTACAACAATATGCATATTTTAGTATTGATTATCCTGGTTCTGGTCTACTAAGCTAAGTATTTGGAATATGCATATTATTATTTCTACTACAGTAGAACCTAGAGATCCTATCCAACATCAGAGCTCCATTGTGCTAGGTGCTGTACAAACCCATAGTAAAAGAAGAGTCTTTACTCCAAAGAGCTTACAATGTCATAGGCAAGACAGACAAAAGATAGCAAAAAGAGTTAAAACATACAAGCAGAAGATTGGAAACGGAGACATAGACAGATTAAGGGTTTGTCTACATGGGGAAATTTACTAGCATAATTATTCTGGTATCATTTCCTGTGTGGATGCTCTAATTCCAGAATAAGAGTGCCTCTTTCTGGTTTAGCTTATGTCACCTTGAAAGCAGTATAATCTAAACCAGAAAGAAGCACTCTAATTCTTGAAAAGCATTCACACAGTAAGTTATACCAGTGTACCTATAGCTGTATAATTACAGTGGTACAGTTCTACCGGTAAATTTTACTTTGTATGCAAGCCTTAATACTGTACTGATCCTACAAAGAGCTCCATGCAGGTAGACTCCTGCATGGAGCCCCATTCACTTACACCAGGCTTTGGGCCTAAATCCCCCCCCCGCCCCCCCCAAGTCACACAGGAAGTCTTTGGCAGAGCTGAGGATTGAATCCAGATATCCTGAGTCCCAGTTCACTACTTCATTCACAAGACAATCCCTAACCTTCCAACTGAATACAGAATCCCACTCAGACTTTATTTTCTTTATAAATTTTTCCATAATAAGTGCATGACTCCATGCTTTAAAATAGCAAAACCACTCAACACTAATTTGTGTATGTGATGTGTATACAGACAGGTGAGAAGCAAAAAGTGCAGTATGTCTATCTTTGCAGAGTGCAGAGTACAACAGGATGCAGGAGTTTCAGAGAAACGTTACAGTGCTCTCTGTTGATCACAGTCAGCATCAAGAGGAGACAGAGAGTGGAGAAGGGGGGAGGGGAGTACAGATACAGCATGACAGCCCAGTACTGACTTCAGTGAGGGTTTTGCTTGATTCAGAGCTGCAAGTGCAGGCCCTCAGAAAGTTCCTTCATCAAAAAGTTGCAATAGGAAGGTTATACCACAACACATCTGATTTTTAACCTTTTTCAGGCTGTTCGAGCCTTTAGCTCTTTCATTATCTGCATAACAGGCTCTTATCCAAAACCAAAGGAATCATTTTAGGACCTAGACATAGCCATCAAAGTGAGAGCCTCAGGGCAGGTAGTGAACTCAAGAATACACTCAGAGCACAGGAATAAACTAATCACCTGGAAAAAAAAAATGATGGGGATGTGGTGGAAGGTGTTAATGGTGGCCAAAGATGGGAGCTTAGGAAGGAGTAACAGGAGGCCAAAGAACACAAACAAAATAGGTTTTGCTTGTTTAACACAGGCTGTCCATGCTTGACTTTGCTTTTAGTCTTCTTTAGCTCTATCTCATGGGTTATTTTAAAATACTGTTTGATGGTCACTTGTTATTGGAAATAGACACAGTGAAGATTAAAGGTGAAAATGACTCTTGGATGAAACCTGAAAAAATTTCAAAGTGATCTAAAGGTTTATCTTGAATAGGATTTAAAGGTGCGATGTTAGATAATATTAGCCCTAGTAAAACCCTAGGCAAGACAAGATAGATTGTACTTTAGTACCTGTTAACCTAATCAAGTTAAATCGCAAGGAGGTGCCTAGGGTTTAACTTGAATAGTCTAAGGGCTTGTCTACACTGGCAATGTTACAGCGCTGCTGCTTTAACGTGGCTTGTGTAGTCGTAGCACAGTGCTGGGAGAGAGCTCTCCCAGTGCTATTAAAAAAAAACAGCTCCACAAGGGGTGTAGGTCCCAGTGATGGGAGCTACTCCCCTCATGGAGGTGGATTTTTTACAGCACTTTAACGTTGCTAGTGAAGACATAGCCTAATATGTACTGGAAAGTACAACATGCCTTGTCTTGACTGGAGTTTTTGAAGTGTGTTAGTTAGATCAACATCACACTTTTAAATCCTACTCAAGAAAGGACTAAATGACTAGGATCAGTTCAACCAAATCTGGGTCTCCCAATTCAAGGCCCCAGTTTCATTGCACTCCCCTCCCTCACCCCAACCTGCTTTGCTTTGCCAGTTCTTGGGATGTGGAGGTATGAAACACAAGTAATTTGTTCAGAACTGGTGTGTGTGTTTGTGGTAAGAGAGTTAGTGGAATAGTGGAGGGAGGAGGTTTTCTATTAAACAGCAGGAGGGAAGTCAAGTATCAGGGAGTAGCCGTGTTAAGGGACAAGTAGGAAGGACATCCTAATTCTCCCCAGGGATATCAAATTATCACAGCAAAGCTCTCAGCCCTTATGAAGATGTCACACTCCATGCCATGTGGCACTAGCCCATGAGGCGTTTACATACACAAGAGTTTCATCTTGTCCCTAATAGGGTGGGTCCCCATGACAAAGAGGGTCACATAAAGGATAAGATGGATTGGTCCTAAAGGGCTGCATGCTTGAATTTTTTTCACTAGCTATGTAGGGGCAATTTTCTCTGTCAGAATGAACCTAAAGCCCTAATCAGAACTGGAGCTGTGCTAAGCACTATACAACCCCACAGGAAGACATTGTTTCTCCAGTGAAACATAGAAGGGAAAAAAAGAAAAACAGACAAAGGGTGGGAGGAAGGACTGGCACATAGAAGCAGTGAGATCTGGGTGATGGCAGGTTTGTCTTAATTCCATTTTCTCCGTATGTTCGGTTTTTATCTTACTATATCACTGCCCTTAACTATGTCTTTACATTCACCTGTTTTATAATTTTATAAAATAATGTTATTACCTCGCCATGCCTATTCCCTTTCTACTTTGGCCTCTTTTCGCATTTTAACCCCCACTTTACTAACAGAATCTGCGTCATTCACCTTCCAGACCTTTGCTTATGTTACAGTTTAACCCCCTGCAATACTCTGCACAATTGTGTCGATCCAGTTCCGTGATTTGGGGAATTGGGGTGGCATTGCTGCCCTCCTTGAACGCCTCCTGCCCCGCCCCGCGGCGAAAGCCCGCTGTCCTCCGCGAGGCCTTCCGCGGGGCGGCGCCCGGAGCTCGCGCTCTCGGGGAGCTCACACCCGGGCCCATCCCAGCCCCACGTCGGGCCGCAGTCCGGCTGCAAACGCTTCCCGGGAGGCCCCGCTGTATGCAGGCGGGTAGCTCGCAAGCACAACCTCGCTCGTGCGCTTAACGCTCGGCGGGTCCCGACCCGCTACGTCACCGCAGGACCCTACAGCTCACGGGGCTCAGAACCAAGCCCCAGGCCCGGCGCTACCCCGAGCCCCCGACACGCTGGAACAAGACAAGCACGCGCAGCCCTGACCGCTAAGGGCAGGCGCTTCACTGGCCCAGTGCGCACGCGCAATGGCCCCCGCCGTCCGCACATGCTCAGTAGCAGAAAGCCCGCTTCCCCCCCCCCCCCCTTGGAGGAAGGGCACCGTTGTGGCATGACAAGGGAGAGGGCGGGGAGGCCGCCGAATAGCGCCCCCTCCCCCCCACGTCGCCATGCCGCTGGAAAGCTTAGCTCGCATCATCAAAGTGCAGCTGCCTGCCTACCTCAAGCGCCTGCCCTTGCCCGAGAGCATCAGCGGCTTCATCAGGCTGACAGGTACCGCGGGCTGGGCCCCCTCTGCTAGCCCCGCCAGGATCCAGCCGTCCCCTATTCCCTCCCCTCCTCCCGGCCTTCCCCTCCGCCTATTCCTTCCTCTCCCCCACTTCCCCCCCGCCCCCCACCTCATCCCTTCCCCTCCCCGCCCCCCCTCCCCCCCCTGTCCCCCCCCCTCCCGGCCTTCCCCACCTCATCCCTTCCCCTCCCAGCGCCCCATCCAATTACTGTGCCCTCACCTCTCGGCCTTCCCCTAGCCCTTTAGCCTATTCCTCCCTCCCCCACTTCCCCGGCGTCCCCCACCTCATTGGAGGGGAGGGATAGCTCAGTGGTTTGAGCATTGGCCTGCTAAATCCAGGATTGTGAGTTCAATCCTTGAGGGGACCACTTAGGGATCTGGGGCAAAAATCAGTACTTGGTCCTGCTAGTGAAGGCAGGGGGCTGGACTCCATGACCTTTCAAGGTCCCTTCCAGTTCTATGAGATAGGTATATCTCCATATAGATTTTATTTTAAATCCCTTCCCCTCCCAGTGCCCCCATCCTATTCTTGCCACTCCCCGCTGAGTCCCCAGCCTTCCCCCTGGCCCCTCCATCCCATTCACTTCCTCCCTGCTTCCTCCCCATCCCATTGCTTTCCCCTCTCACACCTCCCCTGCCTTTCCCCTAGAGCTCCCCTTTCTTGCCCCTGATAGGTGTCCGGAAGGAGGAAGTGAGGCAGCTAAGAGAGTTGCTGATCTCAGTGCTCTCTCCTGCTGGTGGGTGAAAATTTGGCTTTGTGTGACTTAGTTTCCCTTGACCTAAGGGGGTGCCTGCACTTCTGCCTTGTTTGCTTCACAGTGGCAGACAGAGAAGCAAGTCTGTGGCTAAAATAAAATAACTGCCAGCGGTAAAATATTTACTCTTGCAAAATATTACTTCCCCCAGATCTAGTGCGAGTTGTTCCTACAAGTCTTAAGAATGACTCTGTTGACTGCCAGCCCAGCGCTGCAGCCTCTTCCCTGGATCAAGTTGTGTTCTTTATGCCTCTAATATTACCTCCAGCAACAAGATTTTGCAGTCTGAAAGTGGCTAATAAATCTGATGATGCCTGTGGCAGAATAGACTCCAGCTTGCTTCTCTATAGCTACATGGGCTCTGCCTGGCTCATAGGACAGAAAGCAAGTTTTATCATGAGCCATGACTTGAAGACCTGCAGGGAGCAGTTGTTTTGAGTAAGAAGGGGGTGGATGTTGTTTTACAGGTCTTTTCCAACTGTAACCATACTTTGAAATCTTACACATCACTTTAGCAGCTCTCCCTCAATTCAGATTATAATCACAGCTCAGCCTGGACTAATTAATCACTTTATAATTGTTAAATAGAAGACTTGCACTTTTAACCTTAAAAAAAAAACAAACCACACACATTAGGTTAAAAAAATGTCAAAAACAGGCTTAACAAGTTTTTATCTGTTCTATAATTACCAGGCAAAGATTCTTAAACCAGTGTTAAACTGAACCTACTTTAGCAATATCAACTAACAGACTTTGTGCCTGATTTTCATTTACACTGAGGCCCTTTATATTTTGACTGATTCTCATTTACTTACCATGAGCCTTAGACTAAATGAATATCAGGCTGTTTTTAAGGCTCCATCTGTAGTTCATTTACAGCCAAGTTAGGGGACCTGGTTAACTTGGTTCTGTAACTAGCCTAACGCAGTTGCCAAACACAGAAAACTTTGTGTTTAAAAAAAAAAAAAAAAAAATTTTTAAAAAAAACTTTTTTTAAAAAAACCCTAAAAAAAAAAAAAAAATAAAAAATTATTTAAAATATTTCTTTAAAATATTATAGAAAGGATTTTCTGCTCCCCTGGTGACTTTTTTTTTTTTATAAGTGTCTCCTTAGCAAGGGAAATAGGGAAAATAACCATACAAAGTGCTGCCAATTGCACAAAGTGAACTAACTGAAAAAAGAGAGATTTTTTTTCCCTCCTAATTTTGTACCTACTACAATTATGTTTTCCAACAGAATTGTGATTTTTCAGGTTTGTGTCCCATTAAGATCCCAACTATGTTACAAATTAGAACTATTTGAACCGGTTTCTAGATGCAGTTGTAGTGTGGATAGGACCTCAAGTATCATATTGTTTTAGCTAGCATGGTTTGTTTGGGGACATAAAAAAAATTAAATATAAGAATCATTGCTCTGGCAGGGTAAAAGGTCCTTTAAAAGGTCCGCTTGTTGGAGGTGGTTTAATTATGCCGATGGGAGAGCTCTCGCCCGTCAGGATAGAGCGGCTACACGAGCGAACTTACTGTGGCACAGCTGCAGCGATACAGCTGTGCTGCTGTAAGCTCACTAGTGTAAACATGGCCTTAGTCTCTTCTTGCTTCAGCCATCTGAGCTCATACATTTATGTAACTGAGGAGGTATGAAGTCTACCTGTATATTCATACACACCACATCTATCTTTAAGTGCACAACTGACAGCATAAGGGGATACACTACTTTTAGTGCTCAATCCTGCAGTTTCAAACATTATAACTATTAAACACGAGCTTTTAAAAACTTAGCAAAGTACTTACTGGTCACTAAGGCCAGTTAGCATACCAACTTTGAAGTTTCAAGCTTCAGTCATGTGAGTTATTCTGAAAAAGGTAATCAAAACTTTTTTTAAGAGTGAGGTGCGGAGGGGAGCTGTTTACCCTAAACAAAATCCTTTCAGCTAATTGATTTGAAACTTGGAATAAAATAAATTATCGCCTCTGGGAGGGGCCAGTCATGTGACATTTCAGTCCCAAAGGTGAATGTTTCAGAAACTAATGAACATAGGTAGAAGAGGGGATTAGAATGGAAACTGCTTTGTGATTGCTATAGGAATTTGGTGACAATTTCTTAGCTCAAAAATTCCAGAAGTCCTGTACGTTTACTGGCTCTGGTACTTACTGATTTAATGAACACTTGAACAATCAAGCATAGTGAAAGTATGGATGCAGATACAAAATGCAGTCAGAAATACATGGCTAACATTCCAAATCTGGACACAAGATTCATTTCTGCAGTATTTAATAGGCTTGTGTCCATTGTCACACTTAAATGTCTTTTCTCTAAGATGTAATGTATGCATCATGTTGATAGCACTAAATTGAGAAAAACAGCCAAGAATGCTATGGTTGCAAGATTGAAGTATTTCAGTGTTATGGCACACAGCAAACTTAATGAGTCTTTTTCAAGAGCATCCTCCTTGAAATAATATTCTCTTGGCTCACAGCCCCTTTTTTTTCTTAGCAGCAGCAGCTTGACATAACAGCACATGATTGACAGTATGACATTGCTAGACTAGATGCGATAAATCGATCCCCGCTGGATTGATGGCTGCCCGCCAATCCAGCCGGTAGTGAAGACATACCCTTGGTTTCCTGACATGCTTTTAAAGTCTTTGGCTCTGATCTGTGCTGACAAATCCTTTTAACCTTGTAGAGTTACATTCACTTCAGTGGCACTGCACATGGGCAAAAGGATCTGCCCGCCCAGATCAAATGGCAAGAACCTTAAGTTATTCAAACAGCAGCTGTAATGTGGGCATAGATTCATAGATTCTAGGACTGGAAGGGACCTCGAGAGGTCATCGAGTCCAGTCCCCTGCCCGCATGGCAGGACCAAATACGGTCTAGACCATCCGTGATAGACATTTATCTAACCTACTCTTAAATATCTCCAGAGACGGAGATTCCACAACCTCCCTAGGCAATTTATTCCAGTGTTTAACCACCCTGACAGTTAGGAACTTTTTCCTAATGTCCAACCTAGACCTCCCTTGCTGCAGTTTAAACCCATTGCTTCTTGTTCTATCCTTAGAGGCTAAGGTGAACAAGTTTTCTCCCTCCTCCTTATGACACCCTTTTAAATACCTGAAAACTGCTATCATGTCCCCTCTCAGTCTTCTCTTTTCCAAACTAAACAAACCCAATTCTTTCAGCCTTCCTTCATAGATCATGTTCTCAAGACCTTTAATCATTCTTGTTGCTCTTCTCTGGACCCTTTCCAATTTCTCCACATCTTTTTTGAAATGCGGTGCCCAGAACTGGACACAATACTCCAGCTGAGGCCTAACCAGAGCAGAGTAGAGCGGAAGAATGACTTCTCGTGTCTTGCTCACAACACACCTGTTAATACATCCCAGAATCATGTTTGCTTTTTTTGCAACAGCATCACACTGTTGACTCCTATTTAGCTTGTGGTCCACTATAACCCCTAGATCCCTTTCTGCCGTACTCCTTCCTAAACAGTCTCTTCCCATTCTGTATGTGTGAAACTGATTTTTTCTTCCTAAGTGGAGCACTTTGCATTTGTCTTTGTTAAACTTCATCCTGTTTAACTCAGACCATTCCTCCAATTTGTCCAGATCATTTTGAATTATGACCCTGTCCTCCAAAGCAGTTGCAATCCCTCCCAGTTTGGTATCATCCGCAAACTTAATAAGCGTACTTTCTATGCCAATATCTAAGTCGTTGATGAAGATATTGAACAGAGCCGGTCCCAAAACAGACCCCTGCGGTACCCCACTCGTTATGCCTTTCCAGCAGGATTGGGAACCATTAATAACAACTCTCTGAGTACGGTTATCCAGCCAGTTATGCACCCACCTTATAGTAGCCCCATCTAAATTGTATTTGCCTAGTTTATAGATAAGAATATCATGCGAGACCGTATCAAATGCCTTACTAAAGTCTAGGTATACCACATCCACCACTTCTCCCTTATCCACAAGGCTCGTTATCCTATCAAAGAAAGCTATCAGATTGGTTTGACACGATTTGACACGGCATGTTGAATAATAAGTTTTGAAGTACTAAATTTATACAGCAACGCACTCTACTACATTGCTTTATGGAATCATTTAATGATGGAACATGTTTGCCTGCTTCTTCCAAAAAGTCGCTCAACAAGAATACAGCCAAATCAGGGGTTATATGGTGCCAAAACTGCTCTTGAACTGAGTAATCGGCAGGAATTTTCA